CATGTATATTGCGCACGAGACCCCATTACACGCCTCACCAGATAACCACGCCCCTTTTTGCCGCAACAAAATGCACACCGGTCAAAGTTATAGTTATGATCGGTCAAAGCCCAAAGGTCAAAGTTGGCAGTCTGTCCACTGGGCGCCTGTAGCGCGGACATTTTTATTTCCACACCAGCCCGCACGATATTCGTGTTAGCGGGGTCAGACTACTCACGGGGACGTATTTATAGCCAAACCGAGATACTAGATACCGCTTATGTGCCACGAGAACATTACATCGTTGTAAAGTTTGACCGCTTAAAAGTCACCTGCAAGATGGGCGTAGCAACTTCCGTCTCCACACTTGTAATCAGCATCTCAAATCCTATCAATAGGCCTAGGTCATTCAAAGGCTCATGGGAAGTTGAAACCACTTCCTGGTCAGATCGAGTCCAGCAGTAGTGGCGCTGGTGGAGCCCGAGTTTTCCAAGCTAGAACATGAATCTGTTTCAGAACTCCATCTGCTCTTCGGACGTCGTCTCAGAGCCAAGTGTTTACCGTACCGTCTCCACCTATTGCAAGGACAGATTCGTGGCGGCAAATACAAAGCGATCAAGAGTGAGTCTAATATTCGCGAACAATCTTGGACATTCCGAACAACAGGGGAACTTTGACATCACTCAATCTTTTCTTCCACGAAATTTCGAAGAAAAACTCTACTTATTTACTGATAGTTAGGACGGTAATTATCACGAGCCTGATCACTAATTGAGCATCACATTTCCGATCAAGACTTTGGATTACCTCCAAATGCAAGCTTATGTCAAATTTGGTGGGGGAAAAAAGCTGACGCCAAATAGCGATGGCCCAATTTACCACCAGGAGGGACGGTCGTTGAAAAAGTGTGCTATTTCATTACAACAAAACGGACTATTTCCTATGGTCAAGTCTCAGGGCTAATCTCTTCCAGACTTCTCTCTCTCAGACTTCTCAGATTTCTGGGTAGGTAATCAGTCGCGGTGAAGGCGTTAAATGTTTCGAAAGGATTATCTGTGCGTGATTAATAGGCACGGCCGGATCGGGAAACCCAGAAAAGGCCATTATTCGAAACTTTTCTTCCAAAAGCTCCTTGAACTCTCCCCTCTCTTCCGTGACGAAAAATACGACCCCCTCAAGAGGATCACCAACGACGGCGTGTCTCACTGAAGTCTAACAATTTTAGCCTTGCTGATAGGCCTCGTTTAGCACTGCAGAAATGGAGACTTTTAGTTACTTCCAGCGTCGATTTGACTAAGTAGACTGTTCTCCTCAGATGCAGATGTTGTCGGTTATCCCAAACATGATTGGGATAACGACAACAAGCGCCCCATATCCTCAGCGTTCCCAACGAAATGCCAGAAAGGCAAAGAAACGCACGAGAGATCAATCAGGAGTGAACGCTTGCTGAGATTCTACTTGCAGCACTTATTAGAAAACTTGTAGAAATAATGCTGGCTTAACAAAAGACTTGATCAGGCAGGACCAGGAACTGCCCTCACCCTTGTCAATGTATTAACGCTTAGTAGCTCTTTCCAAGGAACTGTGTTAGTTGAAAAGTTAGTTTTGATTGCATTGTTTACCGCAATCTCATTTTGCCAGCAAGTGTGTAGAAAACAAGGCGTAAAAGTAACCGAGGACAACCAATAAGCAATAAAAAAATCAATAATCAATGAACCCCGTATCGCTTTGGACGTAATATTGTTACTGGAACCCTGCAGAACGAGTTGAAAAGGGTGTGGAAATATCGAACCTAGGCAGGGTAGGCGTAGACGAGCGCTCGCGTCCGCATTTGGGGAAATGGGGCGCTTCTAAACAAACACACAAAAGGCCATTCGACTGCCACAGAAGGCTCAACCTTGTGAACATTTCTTCATGTTAACGTGATGTCGACCCCACAGACCCCGCAAAAAAGGTATTTCGCGATTATTTCAAATGAAAAATTCGAAGTTGACTTGAAGCCATGAATCTTTGTGGGTGACCACAGCATTTGCTCATCTATCATTTCAGGGAAAATAAAACATAGGCATTCTGAAGCTCTTTAGAGTAGCTCACGTTTTCCAACATTATCCTTGGTATTTTCCCAACTGCGGCAAAAATATCGATGAGCAAAATCAGTCTAAAACAGTTCTGCATTAATTTGTGTGATTTAGCGCTTTTATGCGGAAGGACAGCTACAGAAAGATGCAGCAGTCCGACGAGCTGATGGGATCCGGAGAAAACTCCAAGTCTTACGCGGTGAGTTCTTTGTATCTGCTGATGGACTAGTGATTTGACTTTTTATCCTTCTCCTTCAAGTATATCTCGCGTTCCGCTGAAGTTAAAATATTTGCTATTATTATTGAATTATGAGCAGGGTTATTTTATAGCTTTTTGGCTGAAGGCATACACAATGGCTTGTTGCTGCGGATGCTGGGGCGTGCCAAGAAGGGGGAGGGGTCGCGTTCAGCGCGGCACCAGCTCGGCCTGACGTCAAGCCAGTCCTAGCTCCTCCCCCCACCCTGAGAATGCGTTCATACTTTGCGGCAGTCCGCCAGCGTCACCAGCCTCTACCAGCTGCCAGCGCCTATAAACGCTTACCAGCATCTCGAGGGTTACAGAAGTATAGATATCGAACTAGCATCTGCCGGCGTCCACCAGCGTCTACAGCGTCCGGGAGTGGAGTGCTTGGCGCAATAGCAGGGGAGCAGACAGCTGGTAAGTTAAGGGAAGATAAGATTGTAGCAGACTGCTGGTAAAGAATATAGCGCGATGGGAGGGTAAAGGACAGCTGGTACCCTCCTATCGCACCATACTCTCTACCAGCAGTCTGCTGCGGTCGCTGATGGACGCTGGTAGATCGATATCCACCTTTTCCTAGACGCTGAGCTGCAGGACGCACGGAACGCTAGTGGACGCTATTGGTCGCTGGTGGACGCTGCCGCAAAGTATGAACGCAGCCTGATATGTCAGCGAACAATACTGTATCCGCCCGCGATCCATAAAGCAAATTTTGTTGCCAGAGAAATCCAGTAGGAGTGAAGGGCCTCATGTCAATAAACGTGTAAATTAAAACGTTGCCTTGAGACATGGATTTTATTTTCTTTAGATCCCATGCCATAGTACCCATAACCCCAGGAGGATTTCTTGCATAAATGTTCATTACTATGAGTATTGTAGTAAATTCTAGCCTCAATCACAAACGTCACTTATGACTCGCAGTACCAGCCACCGAGATGAGGGTGACGGTGGTTGTTGGCAGAGAACCCGTGACTACCTCAAGGAACTTTACCATAATACCAGGTATTGCTTTTTTCAGTATTATTAGTTGTAGTTCAAGAAAAAATGATTGTAAATTAAATATAATGAAGGTCAAAATATAACCATGTAAAGTACAACAATTACCCATGCCTGCTCATACTTTACATCATAATTTTTTACGTCCCGTGTCCAGTTTTGGAAAACAATTGAATAACATTGTCGAATATCCTGCACGGAACGGGTGGACTCAGTCTATCTGCGCGCCTACGCTTATCCCAAAGGCCGGTTTTGGAAGAACCACCGGTAAACAACAAAAATGCGGGGAAGTGATTCCTTTACAGGGCCAGGCGCCATGATCAGCCTAGCATAGCGAGATGATCGAGTGTCTACATTCGCTGCCGCCGAGAGCCGAATGTTCAGTGCTTCATAAATCGAGGAGCGCAAAGTACCCGGCTAATATACAAGTTTGTAGCACTTTCAGTGGGGAAGGCGCCCGCGTATTGGCGCTAAATGGCGCTGTTAGGCGCAAATCCGAGCAGCCGCTAAATGGAATATCACAATAGTGCTGAGGGATGCGGCGGCCTATCCTCCGGTAGGCGGCGGCTTTCAGCAAAAAATGGCGTCTTTGCAGTCGTTATACTGGCTGTCCTGTTTTTAATTTTTCGTTCAAGCATTCCTTAATGAACTTTATATGAATAGAAGACACATTTTTGAATCTTTTCAGAGATCGCGAGATGACTCCACGATTATTAGCCAGTTTATGCTGTATACTTTTGTTGTTATTACTTCTTCTCATTCTCATTGGAATCATTCTCAACGCCATTTTCAATGCCTACTCGGTTCGTTTTAGCTTTCGTCTACTCACATGGTGGGGTTGGAACGGCGCTTGAGAAAGCCGGAGTTGAGTGAGAGAGTGTTTTTTAGGGTGGGCCGAGTTTCTCTGATGGTGCGACGAACTGCGTCGAAGAATCCAACTGGTCTCCGGCTGCAATGCCCTCAGGTCCCCTTTTCGTCCACTTCTACTCCTCCAATCAAGCTCATTTCGAGTTACGCGGAAATCCCCCTTTCAAAAGCAATTCTTTCACTGCCATCGATTTTGAGACGGTGAGTTTGCTCCAGCTTTCCACAGCCATTCCTTGACCCTTATACCGTTTCAACGCAGTGAAAAACTTTTTGTATATTACGGCGACGCTGCTGTGAGTGCACTTTATATTCTAACACTGGGGGGGGAGACGGGGGACTTTATATTCTACTTTGGGACCTTATATTTTATCCCCATCTTCCTCATCTCTTCACCAACACTGATTTAATCATGGTCTACATTTTTCCAGGCAAAAAGTCTTACCAGGATGCTGTTTTAAGACGTCCTTTGATTACTGTTTTCGAATTAAAACAATTGTTGAGAAATCGTTGGTCGAACTCAGAGCCAAGGCTGCGTTCATCCTTCTCTGGTCCACCAGCGCCCAATGTGCGTCCATCAGTGTCCCGGGCGTCGGCAGCGCGTCAGCAACATAGAAAGCTGTATAGATAATTGACCAGCGTCTGCCAGCCGCTTTACGCAGCGTCCACTAGCGTCGCCGGAGGGCTTAGGTAAGTATACGGTAGCCGATCTAGCTTCTGCCAGCGATCGCGCGCAGACTTCTGTAAAGAGTATTGGGCGGGCGAGTAGGAAGGTTAAACAGGTGTCTGCTACCATCCTATCGCGCCGGGGGCTCTCGCTCCCTTTCGCTGGTAGATGCGACCCTTGACAAGCGCTTGGGAACCAGGGCACGAGCCATCGTTGTAATCCTCACGTAGGGGGAGGGGTCGTGGGATTGTCGGTATTGACCGCGAGGAGTGCGGGGTCGTATTTGGTGAGTTTCAGGACTTGCACTATTTTCGACACTTGAAAATGATAGTTTAATTCTGACGACCTCCCCCCGCTCGATAGCAAAATTTTTGGGAAAAAGTAGTACTCTGCCCTCTCCCCCTTCCGACGGCCGCGGTTTTAATGAGGAAGGACCAGAGGCTGGGAGGGGAGGGGGGTCAGCTACTCCGCCAAAAAAGGGGAGGGGGTCGTATTTCGTATGGAATTAAGGGGGGAGGGTCGTAATTTTCAGAAAATGATGGCATGCCCTGGCTGGGACGCTGAAGAGATACCCATACTCCCTTAGCCCTCGAGACTCTGGTCGATGCTGTCGGCTGCTGGTGAACGCTGCCGCAAAGTATGAACGCAGCCTAAAGCTTACTCTCTTAGTTGACATAACAGGCAAAAGATTCAGTATTCAACTTACTAGTTTTGTTCCAGGGATATATTGCAATTGCTGACCATGCATTAACGGATTCGAATGGACGCCATTTTACCTGCTTTATCATGCCGCTAGACCGTTCTGCGATTTCCAGTATGGATGCACTGAAGGAGGCCGTCAGCGAGAGCGACTATGAGGTATCGACTTCTCCCAGAAGTCGTCACGCTTCCATTTCATCCATTCGTGCATTTCCAGATCCAAGCTCACTTTGGCTGGCAAGAATTTTGGCAATTCGACGCCGAACCGATCGAACCGGTGGCCGCAAATTCTAAGTTCACAGATAAAATCGAGGACTGCTCTGGAGCAAAGTGGTACCTCCTCAAGCAGGCTGTACACAGCAGAGGTTTGTCGAGCTCTATACTCCAGGGACTAAGCAAATTCGTTGGGACATTATAATATTTGCAGACGCTTCGTGCTCGGATTGTTACGACTTCTGCCTTCCTGACTGGGCAGTAGTCAGAAAGGAGAAATATGAAGACCAGAGCACGATTGGAGTTCGACGACTTGACTGCTTCCGATTGTATGTTCCCGAGTGGAAGAATTTCAGGCACGTCTTTTCTGCCTCTTTTCGACACAGTAATCTGTTGTTACAATGTTTCTGTTAGGATAATCCAAAACAGTAGTTTCGTTATTATAAGTTTTTTCACCGCAGCAGTTAGCTCTTCCAAAGTTACTGCAAGGATACTAAGTTAGACGATAAGACTTTACTCTAGTTCCGTGTTAGAGTCCCGCCTGAGATCAAGTTTTTTGCCTTCATCTGAGCACTTTTGCCTAGTTGAGCCAGCCTAGCCTTGGATTACTCATTTCCTTGGAACAACGCGTTTTCACTTTTTAGCAACTTCTTAGTAGCATCAGAGTAAAGGACTAAAAGGAGGGTTTTCTATCCTTGACTTCATAGTTCAAGGCAGTGGGCACCATAATTCGGCTCCTGCAGAAAATGAAAGCAGAGGCAGTGAGCAGTTTGACAGTAAAGCAAAAACGGGACTAAAAGACCGAATCAGGGCCGTTGAACCGCTCCAAAGTTAATGTAAAAAAATTACCACATTTGCAAAGAAATCATAAAAACAGCTGATTTCAATCAGTAGCACACTTCACGGGAATATGGGGTCTTGAAAACAGTAAAAAAAAAGCGCCCAAGAACTGCTAAAACGGCATTACTTGCCGAGAGAGCCTGCGCACTGCTTTTGCCAAAGATGATTTGTTTTCGTTTGCAAAAGTTAGCCTTCTTCAGGTGGCCTTCAAGTGGAACCCTGAATAAGGGAAAAAGCGCCACTCTGCCGCAGATTGTGGGTGAAAACAGTTGGTCCGTTCGTGATCAATTGCTGATCGGTGCGGGGCCATTTGTGGGCGTGCCGCTGCTGGTGGGAGTCTGGGTGGGCATGTTAGGCCTTCCTGAGGAAGGTCAGAGAGCCTTTTTCGTTGGAAAAACGCCTTGCAAGGCTTGCTCAAAGACACTGTATTCAAGCTCAATACAAAAACAAAACCGTATAGCCTCGGTGTTGAAGGTGTCAGTGTGAGGGAAAGGTTGATGTTACCTCCTTCGGTGTTGTAAGCGAGCGGCTTTTCGCCTGCGATGAACCCTCCCTGTGGTGTATTAATCATACTGAGGGGATGAGTGAAAGAGTGCGCTCATATGCTTTTTGTTCTTTATGAAAAACCTGTGGACATACGTAGAAATGCTCCGCGGGTAGGATTCGGGTGAACATCTCTTATGAGGTGCTATGATAATGCCTTACCGAATACTGCTCAAACCCAGTTTTTTTTCTGTGAGTAAAAAAATGCTGCAGCTTCAGCACGAATCAGAAAAAGGGTGCATGTTGTGCATCAATCAGCTGAGAGTCCTTATAGACCAACACCCTGGGCGCGACTACATAGCGATTAGAATCCGGGTACACATGCACCAAGCCTAACTGCACCGAGTATTTGTGCACCATTTTTCCTTTGTAACACGACTTATACTTTTCAGGGTCGAAACAGATCCTACAGGCGGCCACTGGCAGTATCCGTTGGCAAGCCAGAGCACGAAACGAGACAAAAGTGGAAACTGGGTCTCGTGGGTACCCACTGGAAATGTGGCACAGACGAGACGGCGACGACGACGATAGAAACTCGCGATCTCCCGACGGCATTCACCAATTCAGCCTTGTGCACCTTGCCTGACACTTTCCTATTCTCCCATCCCGCCACTGTCCTTACTCTTTTCATTCTCTTGCCTTCTGTACTGTTCAGTTGTGCTTTCCATTCGTGGCCCATTTTATGTGTGTGAGACCTTTTTATACCCATTGCTCACGATACATTGCCTGCCGTTTAACGTTACACTTTCATAACTACCTTTGCATGACTCTTTTTGTATTCAGTGACGTGTGTTCAGCATCGTTTGTAAATAGTTTTCATCTTTTCAAAGTTTGCTTTATTCTCCCATTTCTTACCATAATATATGGCATCTTACGCATAATATCTATATTTTCGATGAATCACAGTTGCATTCTACGATAAATTGCTCTAATCAAAGGGATGACTCAGCGATTTCCATGTTCAAATGCGGTTTTTACCAAAACAAACACCGAATTGGCACTCCATAAAAAGGCATGGATATAGGTACCATCACCCTTGAAGCGGTGCCCTATCCGATTTCAGTTTTTCATTTTTTATATCGGTCCTCACATGAATAACTTGTAATAAGCTACCCGTGATAGCCTACAGTCCAAGGAAAGCTCCTCTTCGGCACGAAACCTTCCGCAAAAGCTTTACACTACTGCCACTAGAGTTTCATTACTTCTCTCTTTCATTTTAGGGTGCATTCGACTATTCATCAGTTCAATCCGATTTCTTGAAGGCAAAACCCGCGATCATTCGCTATCACAGATAGTGGATTAGAAGTTCCCATATAGACAATGTACTGTGTAACTCAATAGGGGGAAAAAAGCAAAAAAAACATACGAAGTGCTCTAGATCGAACCTCATTTTGATCCCAGTTTGAACGTGCCCAGTTGGCTCCATCTCCAACACTACTCCCTCATCCTCACAGCTCA